GCGCGGGAGTCCGGACACGCGGGCTGGGGACCTCGGGCGACTGGCTGCGGGACCCTCGCGGGTCACCAGCGGTCGGCGCGGTGTGCGTGCGAATGCGCGTGCAGACGTCAGCCTCCGAGGCCGGTGCCGCCTTCCGGTCACGGTGCGCGCCCCCAGCCGCCCCACTAGTCGCCCCGGCCCCACGCGCCCGGGCACGCGGAACGCCGGACTGCGGCGCCCGGGCGGCCGCGGGCGAGGCAGACGGGGCGGGCGGGGCGGGGCCGGGTCGCAGGACCCACTGCCCATTGGCCGAGCCCAGTGCCGGGGGCGGGGCGCCGGGCAAGGCGGGCGAGCGCGCTCCGGCAGGCGGAGGAGGGCGCTGGGCTGCGGGACCCGCTGCTCGCGAGCCGCGAAGGGGGCGGACGGGCGCTGAGCGAAGGTCCCAGGGACCGACGCTCGCAGGCGCGGCGGAGAGCGCCCAGGCCTGAGGTGGGCTTCTGCTGCTGGGCTCGCCAACTGACGCCCGGGCTGCGATTGCTTTCCCGAGGGACCGTTGACCTCGCCTTGCGGGAAAGAGGGGCGTTCGCCTCCAGGAGAGGGAGAGAGGGAGGAGCTTGGGCCCGCAGAAAGTTCGCCCCCACCGCGGGCCAGAGGAGGTGAAGTGGGAGGAGGAGCGGGTTTAAGGCTAACTCGGAGCTACGTGCGAAACCTTGGGGCGGCGTTCAAGGCCCCCTCCCACACGCGCGCGGAGCCGAGCGCCCTGCTCCTCCTCCAGCTGCTGGCGTCGCCTCGCAGGGAGAGAGGAGCCGTCCCTCTGGCGCGGGGAGAGCTGCAGAGCTGCAGGCAGAAGAGGAGGCCGCGGCGAGCAGGGCAGCACCCCCACCCCGAGCGACCCCCTTTGGCGCGGGCGGAGAAGGTGGCATAGGCGGCCAGCGTAGGTTTGCCCTCTCGGGACGCGCACACACGCAGGCACTCCCCAGGCACCTCCAAAGGACCCTCCAGGAGTCTCTAAGGACCCTCTTAAAGCCCGGAGTCTCCCCTACCGCCCTCCCCCACCCCCGGAGACCAAGGCGGGGACCCCGGGATCGGACGTCCCCGCGCCTCCGGGCACCTGGCTCAGCAGGAGTCCCCCGGGTCGGGGCAGGGCAGGGCCGGTGGCGGCGAGCCCGAGCCCGCCCGGCGCCCAGGCCCCTCCGAGCCCTCAGAACCCACCCATGGGGCACCGGCTCCCCATGTCCCCTCGCCCGGCCGCGCCCAGCCCGGCGCCCGGAGCCGCGCAGAGGAGGAGCCCGGCACAGTGACCCAGGAGCCACTGCAGACTCTGGAAGCCTCGGCGGCAGCGGCAGCGGCGGCGGCCACCGGAGAGGCCAGCGGTTCCCCGCACCTCCAGGCGCTTCCAGGCAGCCCTCCAAGCTGTGCCAGAGGCCCAGCGCACCATTCTCAGGTAGGAGAGAGACACCCCATCAGAACTGGGGAGCTGGCTGATGTGGGGGAAGCCAGGAAGAAGGGTTTGAGTCTTGTGGGAGGAAGGCTAGAGGAAGCATTACGTGACTAGGGAAAGTTAAGCTGATTGAGCATCTATTATGTGACGGGATCATAGGCAACTTTATGTATCTCTAGAAAATGATCCTAGTTGAGCACCTGCTATGTGTCAGGCTGAGTGCTAGGCCCTTTCCTTATCCCAGGTGGGAAAGACGTATGGAGCTTCTACTCTGTGCTAGATGTGTTCCTAGGAGCTTTCCATTTCAGGGACCTAGAGCAATAGCCATTTAAATATGAGGACACAGGTTCGGAGGAGGAAAGATCACGGAGGACCTTCCTGTCTAGTGTTCCTCAAGCTTTTTGGAGGGTTGGTGCAGGGAGTGAGTTTCCTGGGTGATTCTTTCCCCCGGAAATATTTCCTGTCTTCAGCTGGCCTGGAGGGCCTCCAAGTCCCTCTGGTGGGCTCCTTCTGACCTCTCCTCTCTTTCCCTCTTGGCCTGGGAGGATGACAAATTCACAGCAGGTAGGAGGCCAGGCTGGGATGGGGCAGTGAGTTCGGGAGCCTGTGATTCAGGCTTACCCTGGTGTCACAGTGACAAAACAGACCCCCCCGCCAAGACCTCTGCCTGCACTCCAGTCCCACCAACCCTGGCTGTTCCAGGTGGATCCTTGAATGCCAGGAGGAGATGCACCAGAGGAACCCACTTGCTATGTGCCAGGAGCTGTATTAGCCTCTTGACTTCTGGCTGAATAATCCGGGCCACCCTACAGGTTTGTTTCCACAGTCGCCATTTGGTCGATGACCGGCCCCACCAGGCCAACCCATCTGCCCAAGGGTGCTGAGCTGGTGAGAAGCAGGGCTGGTCTCTGAGAGACCGATGGCTGCCCACTTCTTACCATCCTGATCTGCCAAGGGTAGCCAGGCTGTCTTGGCCAAGCCCCCCAGGACGCCTCTTGGTGTGAGGATGGAAGTCAGTGAATAACACGTATGTCTAGAGGGGCTGGGATGTGTGCTAAAGGAGGAGGCTTGAGGTGTGTGGGAGGGAGTTGCGGGGGGGCTGGTGCAATGCAGCCAGCTCTGGGGACTCACAGGGAGAAGGACATGTCAAGACTCTTGTCTTGATGTCCTTGTCCCTCTGATCCCCTCCATCTCCAAGGCAGACCCTAGGTGAGGGGCTTGAGGGCGAAGAAGGGGGTGAACCCATAGATGCATTTGCTGGGAGCCGGCTGGGCAGGGTTTGGGGTGAGTCCTAGGCAGGGTGCCTGTCCCCAGCCACCTGTGGGAAGAAGAGAAGGAACAAGAATCTAATAGGGCCTCAGGGGTCATTCCTCTGCCTGGCGCCAGCTGAAGCTTCAGAGTCAGGCGCTGTTTGGAAAAAGACGGGTTTTGGCCAGGAGGTGGGTTTTTATGGAGGTAAGAGCCCAGGCTTTCAAGCCCAGCAGCCTAATTCTCATCCTGGCCTGGCCCGTGATCCGAGTGAGCTGGGGCAAGTGACTCAGCCACACGGATCCCCAGGGTCCCCACCAGTCCAGTGGGTGGGTGGTGGTCTGTTCTTCACGGGACAATTGGAAGGTCCCTGGAACAAGGTACGTGAAGCATCGGTGTGACAGAAACCTGTCTGGCTAGGCTGTTCTCTCCCCTCCACCCCACTCCATCTCCGCTCTGGGACTTTCTGCCTCCCAGGGCCCCTGGGAGTGGCTTGGGGTGGGGTCAGCTGAGAGTCACAGAGCTCCCCTTAGGGTTCTTATGCTGTGAGGGGTCCCCATTAGCCACTCTCTGAGCCTCCAGGGTTAGGCTCTACATTTTCAAAGGGCCCCTCTCTGCTCCTCGCTGTGTGGGGTCAGCCCGGCTGAGGATGGAGAGGGGAGAGCCGGCAGCAGGGGAAAGAAGCTGTGCCCACAGCAGCCCACAGTGCGGCCTCTGGGGGAGGAGAGGGAAGGAGGATATGGGGACAGGAGGTGGGGCTCACAGAAGCCGTCAGCTGGCGTCCAGGTGTCTGGGTGCCACACACAGCCCCACGTGCCTGGGGCCATGTGAAGACTCACAGTCGTCTCCCAGAGAGGAAAGCCACTCCCCCCTCTCTCTCCCCGCTCCCTGCCCCGCCTTTGCCTCCTTCTGACGCCCTGTCTCCTCTCTGACTCTCCTCTCTTACTTCCTCAGGCTCCTTCAGCCACTGATAGAAGCACGTCTTTACCAGGAACCCTGGGCTAGAAGCCGGGCAGGCGATGATGGGGACTAGCATGGTCCCTGGGTCCCTGGGTCCCTAGGGGCTGCCGGCCTCCTTCCCTCTCAGTCTAGACAGAGGTGATCACAGCAGAATCAAGCTCCCTTCAGGGGGACTGGGGAGGGGTCTGTCGTGGCATGGGGACTCTTTCCCTCCCGTCTCCGCTGAAGGCCCAGGCTGCCTTGCTGAGAAGCCTTCAGCTCCCCACCCCCAACTGTGCACCCACAGGTGTGTCCAGGGCACAGAGACCCTCAGCACAGCACCTGGGCCAGCCAGGCGGGGCAGGGGAGGAGGGACAAGGCCTCAGAAGGAAGCTGCAGGAGAGCGCCAAAGGCAGACCGTCTTGCTTCATTCATTCCTGAATTGTTCATCCAGCCCTTGCTGGGTACAAGGCACTGAGATCCTATGGGATAAACTGAGAGATGGCTGCAGGCATGAAGGGGGTGGGGTGGGCATCTTTATCTTGGAGTCACTGTCCTGGCTCCCTTATTAACTACACAGGCCAGTCATGGGGACTTGTAAGTATCAGGGTGCTTATTTGTAATAGGCAGATAATATCTTCCCTGTACAGAGGCGGTGAGGACGCTCCGTGCATGGGGCAGACAGCCTGGGGTCAGATCTCTCCTTTGCTGGTTGTTGGCTGTGTGACCATGAGCAGTTACTAAACTTCTCTGTGCCTCAGTATCCCCTCCTATAAACTGGGGGAACACCACCTACCTTCTGGGGTTACTCGGGGTGAGGAGCGAGTGAGTACACGTTAATCAGGGCGCCCAGGACACTCTGGCATACGTTGACTGCAAGGTCAATGTCAGCTCCCACCAGAATCCGCTTAGAGTCCCTGATTTTGTTCCTGTACTTAGCACAGGGCCAGGCACACGGCAGGGGCTGGGTGAGTGGTGGTTGTCAGGGCTCCAGGCTTGCTTAGGGTCAGCGGTGTGCCGAGTGGGCTTATGTGCGCCTCTCTTTGCAGTTCATTCATCGAGGTCCTCCTGGTAGCTAGGAATTGGCCATGGTGGGAATGTGTGTGCCATGGAGGTTGATAAATGCTATCAATAAAAGCTTTTGAAAAAGGTAATTCTGAGAGCCGGTTTACTGCACTGTGGCTCTCAGTTGGACAGAGCGCCAGTCGGGGCAGACTCCTGAATGCCCCAAACAGGGCGTATGCCAGAAGACACACACAAGAGGTCCCTCCATCTCCAGTCTCTTAGCCTTACAGCAGAGGACATTACGACGTTGGAGAGGGCCTTGGGGTAAATGGATGAGGCATTCCAGGCCCCTGAGCTGGAGAACCCAGGTGGGCCGACCAGTGGGAGCTGGCCTGTACAGTTCCCAGTGCACCCTGAAAAGAGGTGCCTTCTCTGGGCAGATGAACTCCACAAAGACATTCCCTGCTTTCCCACTCAGCTGGGTGCCTTGTGCAGTGCCCAGCCTGTACAACTGTGTGTGGCAGCAGGCTGAGGGTAGAGGAGACTGATACCCAGCAGGCCTGTATCCACTTCTAGTTCCTCTTCTCTAGAGGGAGGAGGGATTCCTGCTGGGGTGGGCTGGGGAGCCAGAGAAGCCTCCAGAGAGGAGGTGGTATGTGAGCCAGGGCTTGAAGCATAAAGAGAAGAGGGTGTTCTGGCAGAGGGACCAGCACGAGCTAAGAAGTGGAGGCAGATCTCAGCAGAGCTCCAACAGAGTGATGGGCTCAGGAATTCTGAGTGGATTCTGGTGGGTGCTGACGGAGTGAAGGGGAGTGGCAGGGCTGCGGCTGGCCTTTGGGGTGGGCCTGTTGGGCCCCTGGGGCTCTATTTATCTCCATTTGGGCTTTGGAGCAGGGACCCATTTCAGTCTCTTCCACGAGGCTGAGGATCCCCCATAGAAAGTTTTGGGTGTGCCTCTGAACCATAAACCCTTGGAGCTCTGAGGGACTCGAGTTGTCCCTGGGTCATTTCTCTGACCCACATCCAGGTCTCTGGATCTCCTGGAGGTGAGCAAATTCCCAGGGCCTGGGGCTGGAACCGCTGGGCCTGGGTTGCAGAGGACGTGATCTGGACCTTGCTTTTTTCCCTGTTTCTGGGAAGGCCCCAAAGGCCACAGCAACCCCCACCCCAGGCCTAAGAAATAGCTCTCTAGTGCCTTCCCCAGGTCGTGGCCTGGACTCACAGCTCCTGGGAGGCCAGAACAGGGAAAGGCCCCAACAAAGGGCCAGGGAAAGATCAGGTTCTAGCAGGAGTTAAACGTTTTGTGACCTGAGCCTGTGTGACAGTCCTGGGAGCAGAGTCCCTTTCATAGACACGACAAGTGACTCTTGGGGAACGCCAGCGACTGGCTGGCCGAGAGCAGCAGGGAGCTGGCGTAAAGCGAAAATTCAGGCCCCAGCCGTCCTGGGCCGGAATAAACGGGGTGAACGGACGCCAGGGCGGTGAGCCCCTGTGTGGTGGGTGGATGGGCAGGAAGGAGGCCGAGAGGGCGTGAATGAAGGCACGGGCAGGGCTCCCAGGCCCCCTAGAGACGCCCCAGTCTAACGTCTCTGTCTTACAGACAGAAAGTGGACACCTAGACAGGAGCCCCGCGGAGGAGACCAAGGCGGCCAGCAAGAGGCTGCAGGGCCGGGTGCAGGGCCTCCTGGCGTCGGCTCCCCGCTCCGTGCCGCCGGCCCGAGCCATGATGAAGACCTTGTCCAGCGGGAACTGCACGCTCAGCGTGCCCGCCAAGAACTCGTACCGCATGGTGGTGCTGGGCGCCTCGCGGGTGGGCAAGAGCTCCATCGTCTCCCGCTTCCTCAACGGCCGCTTCGAGGACCAGTACACGCCCACCATCGAGGACTTCCACCGGAAGGTCTACAACATCCGAGGTGACATGTACCAGCTGGACATCCTGGACACGTCCGGCAACCACCCCTTCCCTGCCATGCGCAGGCTCTCCATCCTCACAGGTGGGTGTCCGGGGCTGGGGGGCGGGCACGTATCTGCTCACCGCCAGCCCCACCCCTGGGTGTGGGGTGGGGCAGAGAGGGTGGGTACCACTTGCCGGAGCAGGTGACCAAGCTGGGGCCCAAATCCCACACCGGCTGGCTGGCATGGAGTGCTGCAGGGCTGCCTTCCAGATCAGGTGCTGATGCAGGCGGGTGTGTGGGGGAGAGGGGTCGTCCTCTCCGGGGAGCAGAGAGGGGCTCCCGCCTTCCTCCTGCTGGATGTCGCCCTGCAGAGCCCTGGGGCCCAGGGTCAGTCTGCTGGCCTCAATTCTCTTGACATCCCAGGCCTTTGCTGTCCCTCAGAGCAGTAAGGGCGGGCCCCGGGGAGCAGTCAGTCAAAGGGCGGGTGGGAGCCCAGCCCAGGCCAGTAACTTAGTAATAATCACAGTTAACGGTGGTGGCAATAGCTAATGCTTCTCAAGCTGCGTGCGTGAGCCCATTCTTAGACCTCCTGTGGGTTTCTTTCGTCCTCACAACCAACCTGGGAGATGGGGCTTTGCTTCCATTTTACAAGTGGGGAAACTGAGGCCCAGAGAGGTTAAGTTAGTCCAGGTGGTAACACAGGCGGTCCCTGGCTGTCTGGCTCTTCTTCTCCACCACGTAACTGTCCTGTAGTCTCTTGGCCCTGCTGGGAATGGTGGGGAGGGAAGAGAGATTGCCCAGGATTAAGGGGGTGGATGGAGATGGGGGCCTGGGCCATCCTTTGCCTAACCCAGGCAGTTTCCCCGTGGTCGCTTGTAGGAGGGCGGGCCAGAAACCGGTCTGCCCGGGGCAGCTGCTTCCTGGTTTCGTAGCTCTGGGCAAGTGACTTTATCTGTCGGCAGCTTGGTCCTCTCTCTGTGAGAGCATGGTGTCAGTGCCCACCCCAAAGGTCACGGTGAGAAGTAAGTGAGTTCATACAGCAAAAGTGCTTGGTGAACAGAGTAAGTGCTCAGCAAACACGGGTCTTACACTAACCCAGCATTTATAGAGTGCCTGCTTGGGGCTAGGCAGAGTCCTTGCCTGAGCCGTGCTTCTCCCACTGAAGGCAAGGAGTGAGCAAGTGCCCCCTAGCCATCACTAAAATAACCCCCCAAACGGAGATGCTCTTGGACCAAGAAACGCACGCTGTGTGCACTCCTGCCCCCTCACCCGAGCCAAGCCCCCTCCTTCAGCGCCCTGGGCAGATGGCTTCTTCCTGCAGGCTGTCCTTGTGGACTGTCCAACCCAGCCCATAGTTTGGAGAGGCTGTGTGCTGATGGAAGGAGCCCTGGGTTGACCTGGAGCCACCTGGTGGCTTCGAGGTGTGATCAGAGATCTGAGTCTCAGTCTCCCCAGTGGCACGGCAGACATCGGCTTGCTTCCCCCACAGTGTGGCTGTGGGGACAATTCAAGCACCTGCTGGGGGTGCAGGGATGTCTGCTTTCCTTGCCTTGGGGAGGGGACTGGGTGCCCACTAATATAAATAAGGCTAACATCAGAGGGAGGAGAGAAATAGATGTAGAGGAGGACCACGAGTGTATTTCCAAAATTCATTTTTTAATTACACCAGTGATTTGCAAACGCACAGTCCTGTAAACACAGAGAAGGCTAAAGAAGCCCCCTTGTCCTGTGTCCCCAATGCCAGACTCCTGTCCTCTCCCCAGCGGTGGCCACTCCATTAGTCTGGCGGGGACGCTTCTGGGCCCCCCACGAACACACTGACCTTTATGTTTGTATCGTCGTTGGGACCGGGAGGGTTTTTGTCCGTCTCTTTTGAACGTGCACTTAGGATTCGGAGCACATCTGTCTGCTGCTTTTTTTTTTTCTCACCCACCAGCCCGTGCCTCGTTTTCCAACCTGGTGCTGGTGCGCAGGAAATTCTGAAAGCCATTAATTCTGCTGCCGGCTCTCTTTCCAGCTGCCAGCCAGGCTGTCTCTGAAGCTTGGCATCGCGGTCTCGCATCTGAGTATGTCAAGGCCGCCGAGTCCTCAGGGGCCCAGGATTGGCCTAACAGGACGGGGTTGGCAGGCCAGGCTGGGGCCGCCTTGCAGGTGCCTCTCTCGGGCCCCCACCCCCATTCTTCCCATCCCACTCCGCCCATCCGCCCAGCTTTACAGACACCCATCAGGCGCTGGGCGCTGGGAGTCAAGGTCATGGGTGACACCGTCTCCCTCTGCCCTGGAGTGCACGGTGAAGGGCGCACCATTGGCCGCATCATGGTTCTGAACGTTGCATGAGTCTCTGAGCCTCAGTTTCCTTGTTTGGGGAATGGATTTTGGACATCTCCCCATAGGTTCTTATGTATTGAGGCCAGTTTGAGCGTGAGCCTGTAATCCCAGTGGTAACCTCCAGAGACTGGGACGTGGGCACCGCCCAGCCTCTCTCTCCCCGCCCTGTGCTCCCCCTGAGCGGCCCATTTCAGACCCAAAGACCTGTCTTGAGTGATGCGGTGAGTTGAAGCAGGGACCGTGTGGGTCTTGGAGGCTGGCACTCACTTACTCATCCGTGATTTATTCAAGAAGCAGAGAGCACTTGTGGGCCAGGCACTGGCTAGGTAAGGACAGCAGTGGGTCCACGTCTCGACCTAGCCACGTTCATGCTGTGTGAGCTTAGGCGCGTTGCTCACCCTTTCTGAGCTTCTCTTTGCTCACCTATACCAGGAAGGTGCAGAAATCCCCCTCGCAGGGGCTTTGGGAGGAAAGCGCACATGGAGCCCACGGCCCACGCTGGTTCTCGCAGGGGCTTGTTCCCTTTGGTGTCTCGAAACGTAAGACCTCTGAGCCGGGGCCACTCTCCATTCATTATCCAGGGAAACCTGCATAAAAAGATGTATTTCATCCATGTGGGACGGATGGAGAAGACTAATGTTTAGAGAGGCTGCCTGCCCTGCCCTGGGCTGCGTGGCCAGCAAGTGGCAGGGGCCAGATGTGAACCTAGGCACTCTGAGTGCCTCCGATGTGTCAGACACGATTCCAGGCCCCAGGAGATGTGCACAGAACAAGTCGGGCAAGACCCCCGCTGTTGTGAAAATTGTACTGTCATTATTATTATTATTCTAACACAGTCGGCACAAATTCACAAGCGGCTCACTCGCATCTCCAGCCCTACTGGGCAGTGTTGGGGGAATTAACTGTGTCTGAGCCAGGATGAGCCACATGTTTGCTGTGTGACCTTGAACAAGGGCTTGACCCCTCTTGGGCCTCAGCTTCCTGCTCTGGAAAATGCAGAGAACAGCAGCTCCTCCTTGGACTGGCCGGGAGGGTTGAGTCAGAGTCTGGAAGGGGCGGCCTCCCCACCTGTGTCCCTCTCCCCGCAGGTGACGTCTTCATCCTGGTGTTCAGCCTGGATAACCGGGAATCATTCGACGAGGTCAAGCGCCTCCAAAAGCAGATCCTGGAGGTCAAATCCTGCCTGAAGAACAAGACCAAGGAGGCGGCGGAACTGCCCATGGTCATCTGTGGCAATAAGAACGACCACGGTGAGCTGTGTCGGCAGGTGCCCACCACCGAGGCCGAGCTACTGGTGTCCGGGGACGAGAACTGTGCCTACTTCGAGGTGTCGGCCAAGAAGAACACCAACGTGGATGAGATGTTCTACGTGCTCTTCAGCATGGCCAAGCTGCCCCACGAGATGAGCCCGGCCTTGCACCGCAAGATCTCTGTGCAGTATGGCGACGCCTTCCACCCTCGGCCCTTCTGCATGCGCCGCGTCAAGGACATGGACGCCTACGGCATGGTCTCACCCTTTGCCCGCCGCCCTAGCGTCAACAGTGACCTCAAGTACATCAAGGCCAAGGTCCTTCGGGAGGGCCAGGCCCGCGAGCGGGACAAATGCACCATCCAGTGACCGGGAGGGACGCTGGGGTGGGGCTAGGGCAGTGCCTTCCAGGAGGTGGCCCCATGTGCCTGCTGTCCATGTCCCCCCTCAACAAGACCCCCAACGGCAGCCATGTTCGAAGGCCTCTGGCTCCAGAATGGGCGACCCCAGTCTCTGACCTCTATGTTCTCCTGCCTTTTCACCACTTCCCTCTGATTCTGCTTTTCTGAGGTCCCCTGTGCTTCCAGCACCCAAATCAGGGCCGCCCTAACCTTAGGGCTGTAAGAAATGCTGAGGGGCCAGTCTCCGGAGGGAGACTCCTGGAACAGTCATAGCGGGGTGGAACCGAGCCCCCCAGAGCAAGGTGGGAAAGGACTCAGGCCCTCTGGTCTCGGCTTAGCTGTTCCCACCCCCACCCTGGGGGTGGCCCTCAGGTGTCCCTGACGGTGAGCCAGTGGCCGCTGACTATATGAAGGAAGAGGAGCGTGGACCACGCTCATCCCTGGACTGCCTGGCCTCCACTGGCCTCCGCCGTGTCTGTCTGTCTGTCTGTCTCTCTCTCGCAGTTTCCTCCCCTCTGTCTGCTGGTTGTGCTTTGAAGTTCTAGCTGTCCTCCCGTTGTGCGTAGCTGTAGGAACAGAAATCCTTGTACTGTAACAGCTGCCCCGCCTCGCTGGCCGGACCCCACTGCCTCTCCTGGGGACCCCTCCCTCCCCCGATCCTGATCCCGGACAGGGTTCCGGGTCCTGCCTCCGGCTAGACACTGCCCTCCATCATGAGCTTCACAGTTTACACTTGCACTGTGGGGGCGGGCAGGCTGGGGCTGCTTCTCCTCCTGCCTCCTCCCACCCCCCGAGCCCTCTTCCCTCCCCCGTGTCACAGAGGAGGCGGGTGAGACACGGGGAGGTGGTACGCTTCAGCCCATCCCCGCGGTGCCCGGTTCAGGGCAAGGATCTGCCTCGAACCACGCTGTCTCCTATTGTGCTTGCTTCTTAAGCATTTATTGAGCACCTGCTGGGTGCTGGGTCCACTGTGTGCTAGGAAACAAAGAGGGTGAGCAGTGCACTTTATGCCTCCCAGGCCAGGCCCTTTCCCAACCCTGGCCTCTTTCCCTCACCCGCATGGCCTCTGCCCACCCCTGCTGCCCCACTGCCCTTTGCCCTGTGTGCTGTTTGGGGGTCGGGGGGTGGGGGGTGCAGGAGCAGCTGGGAACCGGAGCCGAGCCCGGAGAGGTAGGTGGGAAAGCTCCTCGAGGGTCCCTAGCCTGTGCCTAGCGCTGGACTGCTGCGGACCGGGTGTGGTGGGATTTGACCATGTGGACCAAAGGTCTTGCTGTCTTGTCCTCAGCTCTTAACAAATATATTTTGTATCTTAATCTCCTTTAAAATATTGAGATTTAGGCCTACCAGGAACCTTAGTGATCATCTAGTGACTCTTTCTGAGGCCCAGAGAGGGTGACTGTCTCTCTGGTCCCAGCACACACGGCAAGTCTGTGACTGGCAGAAGCGGGGCTAAGTCTGGGTATCGGGCACACCCCCCCCCATGCTTCCTCATTCCCGGGTGGGGGGAGGGGACCTTCAGAAACCAGAGCGCCTTTTCCCTGACCGTTTCACCAGATCGCCCTTTGAGGGTTCCTGTAAATTCTGTGTACACACACGTGAACACCGAGTTCTACACGGGCCCCAACTCCAGCTTGCCATACCCTATCCCTCTCCCCTGGCACCCCGCTTCCATGCCCTCACCCAGCCCCAGCCTGCACCCTCTAAGCAGACCGGGTACCATCGCCAGGACAGGTGTGTGGCCTGGTCCCACCCCATGATGTCCCCCTGCTGCCCCAGATCTCTGTGTACGCTACCAATTAAAGTGGGTTTGTTTCTAAGCTGTGTTCCTGACCATGTGAATTTTCTCTGCTTCCCAGAGGTTTGCTTCTTCCTCCAACCAAAGCTGGCCTTGTCCTCCCCGGATCACACCTGCTCTTGGGGAAGCACTGAATCAGTCTTCAAGGTCTTCAAGTTTGAATAGATGGGCGAGGGGCACCCCAAAACAGGAGGTTGTGCCCCTCTCTTGGCCCTTGCCCTTGTAGGCCTTCTGGGATGTGTGTACTGAGTTGGCAGTGTCCCTCTGGAGAGGTAGCAAGGTCCGATGAGAAATTCCCCCCCACCCCACAGATCATTAGCCTTTTGGGGCCACCATAGGTCTGAGTTCTGTGGGGCCCCTGGAGACCATTGATTTGGCCCCCAGGAATGATTGGCATCATCTGGAAACATTTTTGCATCACCAAGCCTTGGGTGGGGGGTCCTGCTAGTATCGAGCAGAGAGAGCGCCCCTGTGCTCAGGTCATGCGCCACAATAAAGAGTTACCTGTCAGTAGTGGGCACCTTCAGTTGGACAGTTGGACAGTTGGTTCTCAAGGTCAGGACAGAGCCCAGGTCTGTATGGTTGACTTGATGTAAAACTTTCTGGGCAGTACTTAGTAAACCCTAGATGAGCAGAGTGATCCCTCGTGTGGAGTGAAGCAGGGTGTGCGAGGGGCTGAGGGTGGAGGTCGAGGGACAGGATCTAGAGCCTGTGCCCCCCGAACTTGCCCCCAGGGTGGAGGGAAGAGGAGGGGACCAGCCTTGCACTTGTTGCGTGCTTTATCCTTGGTGTCTCCAGCCCCGCCCCCCTTCAGCTCCACGAGAAACCCACTCCTCGTGTTCACCCCGCTGTCCCCTCCTTGTCCCAGATGGCACAAAGCTGGTGCCATGGCAGATGGGGCATTCGAAACCAGAGGCCGTCTCAGCTTCGTGTGGGCGAGAGAAAGATTTTTGCATTGATGGTCTGTGTGGGTTTTTTTTTTTAAGAGTTTATTTATTTATTTGACAGAGATCGCAGGTAGGCAGAGAGGCAGGCAGAGAGAGAGGAAGGGAAGCAGGCTCCCCGCTGAGCCTGATGTGGGGCTCGATCCCAGGACCCTGGGATCACGACCTGAGCTGAAAGCAGAGGCTTTAACCCACTGAGCCACCCAGGCGCCCCAATGGTCTGTTTTTGATCAAGAAATGCCAACAAGCCTGTAGGTAACCGGGCTCCCAGTTCAGAGGGCGAGATCTCTGTCCAGATATTCTCAAAGCGAGGGGAGCCTGGCTAGGGTAAAAGTGAAACCAGGCGGGCCTGGGGCATGGGGGAGCAGGAGGAGAGCTCCCCGTTCTGCCCACCTGGGAGCCTAGCCCTCCTTCCATCCTTTGCCCACACTAGGCAGAGAGGGCAATTGTAGGAGGCAAATCACGTTGATGCTTTCCTAGTCCTGGACTTTGTAAGCGTGAGACATGGAGGCGACACTGTCCCCTGTATCACAGGCCAGCACGGTGTCATTAGAAGGGCTCATGGGGACGCAGCTGGGCTCACCAGAGCAAGCCTTACCCTGTGGGTCAAGCCCTGGCCCTCTCTGCCACTCCCTCCCCCTGCTGGGGACTCTGAATAAGTCATGTCCTTTCCCAGACACTTGAGCTTTTTTATCTCTACATGGGAGTTGGGGACAGGGCATTTGGACCAGACAACATATGAAGAAGCCCCTTGCAACCCTATGTTCTCTGCAAGGAGGAATTAATATTCCCATTACACAATCCATGACATTCTGCTCGTTACTAAACAGAGCACGCTTGCTCCAGCCTGGGCCTGGCCCCGGCTCCTTGCATCCCTCAGGCTCTCCCTGGGATGGGGTTACTGGGCATGGGGGGCTGGCTGCGGCAGAGGACACTAGCCCCACAGATCTCTGCTTAGCCCTGGGACAGAGGGTAGAAGCAGATGGTAGGAAAATTCCCCCACTGTGAAACCATTCAGAGACAAGTGCAGGACAGCCGTCTTAGTTCCCGGCCCCAGCACGGGCACGCTGGGAATCTGAGTTCAGAGAATTCTGTGCTGCGAACTCCAAGTACTTATTTTGTTCCACCTCCCTGAACCTGTCACTTACGCAAAAGGAAAACTTCAGTCTGGGTCACGGCTTACTGGGGCCAGCTGGGGCTCTGCAGCAAAGGCTGCTGGGAACAGAGGTGGGGAAGGAGGGTGGCCTTTGTTGAAGACTTACGGTGCACTGAGCACCATGCTGGGCCTCTTGTTGGATCCTCGTGGCAAAGCTGTGTGGAAGGATTATGACTCCCCCTTTATTTTATACACCAGGAACCGAGGCCCAGAGAGGTGAAGCCACTTGTCTGAGGTTGCACAGTGGTGAGGGAGTAGAGCTGAGCTAGAAACCACGTCTGATCACCAAGTGTGTTTTCTCCCCAGAGTTTTCATCACTGAGTTGGCTGAGGGGCTGCTCTCTGGAGGGAGAGACATCTGAATGTAGTTCAGTAACCTGGAGCGGATGTCGTGCACAGGGATGAGATGCTCTATAGCTCGTCGCAAAAGGTCCAGCCGCGGCAACAGAGGACTGTGATGATGGCTGTTTCATGGCAGTCTGAGCTGAGTGCGCTAGGCCAGGGGCTGGCTCTGCTCCACGGGTCATGTGGGAACCCAGGTTTCGGGCCGTCCCATCTCTAGGACCATGTCACCATCTGCAAGGTCAAAGCCATGTTCACCCCATGAACCACATTCCCGTCCAGCCAGCAGGGTTAGGGGAAGAGACTGCAGAGGATGCTGCAGTCGGGCCCCTCCACTCCCTTCCCCTGGCCATGCACGCTGGCAAGAAGGGCTGGGAAACACCGTTCCTTGCCCAGTGGCCCCATGCCCAGTGGCACCTCTGCAAGGAGAAATGGGAGAGACCACCTGGCTGGCCAGCTGATTGTCCTCCTGACACCCTCACCCATTATGTCCACTGAGCGCAACCTGACTTCCCTGCCGCTGCTTCCTTAAAGTGAATCTGGGCTTGATTTTCCCCTGCACCTCGATCAAAACTTGGACTGTCCCGTGGTTTTTCTCATCTGTACCAAAAGCTCTTCAGGTGGCAGATGTAACCTCCCTTAAAATCCTTTGCCCATGTGATGACAGACAGTTCAGTCTTCGGGCAAAGGGAAGACCTTCCCTCCTCCCCCCCACTGTGGTCTGCTTGCACAAAAAGGTGGAAACTGAGGAAGAGAAGGATGGGCAAGTTCCCCTTTCCTTGCTCTCTGGCTTCCCTTTTAACTAATTTCAGTTTCTCTCTCCCCTGCCCTTGGTCCTTGGGAGGTGGGTCTGGTAGGGGTTGGGGGAGGAGGTGGGAGGAACGTGAAAGTTTTTAGTTGCCTGGTACTGTGGTGTCACAGTAAGAAAATGTCACACTTGGAGCATGGCTGATGTTTCACAATGACATTAAAATCACAAGCATTTTGTAGATTTTCCCA